TTTTTATATTAAGAGGTAGTTTTTCGCAAATTTTAAACTATTAAAAAGCACCTTTAATTGCGTGTTACCATTTTTCGTACTTTATATTGGCCCGCTATCACCAGGTGTACACCTGACCTCCGCACTGGGTACTGAGTGATGTATACCATTCGTACTGCAACATACTGAAAGCCCTCGCACATGTTTGTCACAACCTCTTAGACTAGATATTTCAGTGCGGTGCGCATACGCGGATTCTCTACTCGCTACAGTACATTACAGTGTTGAGTATTCCGCCGGGGCGGGCGGGCGTGTGCGCGCGACGGTTATTTGTTATCAAATTATCAGGTTATTGTTTTCGGAGTTACTGGCAGTTGGGTTTACATACTTCTTCTACATCGACACCGCATCAAATAGCAAGTATGCGCATAATATTTAAGTATATTTTCTCGAGCTTTTTACATTATCCATGTCCTTGTTTTTCTTCTTTCGATCGTCTCTAATTTTAAGGGTTATCTATCACTGAAAGTTGACCATCAGCTTCGAAACTTTCTTCTGAAATCTTGAGTGATGGCTCGACACAATTACATTAACGTTATCTTCCTTATTAATTGAAGTTTGTTGTCCGAGATCTCCCGTGGAAGGTTAAACTTATTTTTTATTTGACGTAACAGCGCTCAGGGCAATACGACATGTATTTTGTGATTTTTTTAAGTGTTTACCTATTATGGAACAGTGATATAGTTATCCATGTAAATTCAAATATTTTTACTATATTTTATAATACCTATTTTGTTGGCACATCTTATAAACTTGGTGAAACTTTATGAGTTTATATATTTATATTTAATACTAACGGAACCGATATCGTGCTGTTCCTTAAATGAAATGAAAACTGATTTTTCGAATAAAGAAAATCATTGTGATCCGATTGGCGATTACTTTGATGGAGATTTGTAATCGTCAATTGGATCCCTATTGAATAGAATAATAACCTACGTAGACAAGTTCCTCCTTTCCGATTTACTTTCGTGTCGAGTACTGTATTGACAAGTATCGATTTAAATGGGTATTTAAAACTCTTTACGTACTAACATGATACCTGAGGGCTTTCTTAATGTCCTCGAATGAAAATTCAGCAATTTTCGAATCGTTCTTATAATCTTGTTTAAATCATTTTCATGATTATAGTACCTATCTGCATCAGATGAAGTGCCAGGTCCCGAGTGTCAAGAGGAGATTAAGAATAGGCCTTGGTGTCATGTTTCATTCATACGAGTAGTAATGTGTTTTTATTCTGGTTGTGACAGTGTCACTCGATTGATGCAGCTCGATGAACCGTGTTTTTAAATTTTCAGCTGATTGTATATTCAGTATTGTTGAGTCTCGCTAGTAGCGTGTTGGTAAACACACGGTGTCTCATGGATCACGTCTCGTCCGCGCGACCGTTCGGTCAGCGCACGCGCATTGTGATTGTGATTCTGCTAATGTTAGCATAATTATGGAAAGTCAATAGCGCTTCAACTGCAACCTTTTATGACACAATATTTCCATCAACATTGGTTTGTAAAGAAGATATTACGAGTACACTAATCATTTTGGACTTCAGGTAGATAGTACAATAATCGCATTTCAATAGAATCTCCACATGAATTTTGCCATTGTATTATTTACCTGAAGTCCAATATTAAAAGTGAAATGTCTTTATCACTAATTAATGGTTACAAATATATTTATTAAAAACTATGTCATAAAGCTCATAAAGGGTTGTAGTTGAAGCATTATTGACTTTTCAATAATTACGTTAACATTAGCAGAATTGCCCTACTGATCACTTTGCCAATACTTATTTCTTGTTATAATTATTATTTACTTCGTATAGGTTCAAATCCCTGCTAATATTATCGCTACAAAAGTGACATTGTCTGTCTTTCTGTCTATTATAATTTTAAATGATAACAAGTTTTACCAAGTATCTTCTTGGCAAAACGAACACAGGCACAGTGGATATGGAAAAATTTAATACCAAATATTGAACCAAATAAAATATTGAAAGAAAAAAAAAACAATTTAACAAACAAACACTCTCTACTCGTGCACACCAGGAAAACGTATTTTCATTATGTTAGACAGTCCCAAATATGATTGGATTAGTTTTTAATACTAGAAATATAAATTGAACTGACTATCGGTCAATTGCACAAACGTGCATTTAGGTTTAATGACGCCTTAAAGCTCTAATGAATGTCATATTTGTACGGGTAATAGCGCTTAAAACTAATGAAAAATTCAATGGATGTTTGTGGAACTGGCTGTATGTGGCGAAGCGAAAATAAGGGTTATGATTTTGGCTGGTATGTGTGATGTGAAAGAATATTCATTTGTTCCCTTATAACTTCGAAACTACTCATGGTAACTGGACAAATGAGGTATCATTAGAAGCGTCTTAGTTTTCCGCGTCCGCGGCTTTGTGACGTCACATTAAATCACTTCTCCATTGGCGTCGTCTTATTGGTTTATTATTTATTATGTAAGCTAACGGTTTAAGAAACTAGACTTGAATAGATAACGATCAATTTTTTTTATCAGATCCGTTATCTACTTATTTTCTAATATAAGTTATTTCTTATTATATATTAGATTTTCAAAATGTATTTCTCCGTGATTGAGAAGCTAGTGATGTCGAACAACCAAGAGGGCCATAAATTATCTTATCATTCCACAAACGATATAATCAAGACATTGAATTATATTGAAAATATCTGGAATGATATTAATACATGGAGGTGATGGCCACACGCGGTTGACTGCGATATTGTCGGGAGATGCCGCCACCGTCGCCGCCGATGTGTTGCTATTTACAGCCAATACCATTTTAGACTGACACATTCATAAACGATGAACTTTGCCGGCGGCTTGCACAAGTTTCACACATTAAAATAGTTAAGGTCAACGATTCCTCGATTAGCTTTCATACAGTAATTACAATTTTTGATTATATAAGTATGTAATTCCAGTATGTATACTAGGAAATCAATTAAACATTTTTAAATGTTACTGTTATTTCTAAACTTTATTGAATGTTTTGGTATCCTTCAAGGCAGTTTCCTTGGACCCACATTGTTTATGTTTTACATGAACAAATTGTTTTTTATTAAATCTTTTAAAGATATATTAATCTCCTATACAGACGACACTGATCTTTAAGTCCTTGGAGATATCTCAGCATATGCCTACAGATAAATTTGAGGTAGTTTTATAATAGTTTTGGATTTGTATCAGATAAGTTTTTGACCTTAAATAAACGACCATAAAATAAATTTAACGTTTTCTTAACTTAAACGAGAACAAAAATTTCTAAATTCTGCACTTGATTGCTCACTTTTGCGAGTTCCATAATGGCAATTTATATAGTTAGTGTGCTGGTGAGGTGAAATAACTAGGAACTATGTAAATAATCCGAAAGCATGTAATAAATCATTATAATTACATTAAAGAAACGTAAGTCAAAAAAGTACCTAAGTAAATGACAGTTATTAATTATAGATACATGTGAACAGAAAACTAAGGAATAAAGATCTATACGTAAAATTTAGGAGTTAATAGGTTTTTTTTGCGAAGGTTATATACAACAATTAAGATTAAAAACGGAAACGCTTAATTTAATTATTGTAGCAAGTTTGGTTCCTGTTATGGACCATAAAGAAGAAACATTAAAAATATATTGATAACATTCATATAATGATTCTGTCCTTAAGGCGCATAACAAGATTTTAATTTGATACTAAATAAACCTATAAAACTCACATTTAAACAAGTGTTCAACTCTGGTAATGACTTGATATGTATTATCATATTAAATACTAGCTTTCCACCAGCGGCTTTGCCCGCGTGATCCCTAGGGAATTGTTTAAATAAATAAATTTCTACATGTAAAATGAAAACGAAATGAATGAAAGATGACGATGGATGGATCTCTCGTTTCATATCGTGACATGGATAACTACAATGACACATTGAATAGTAAACAGTGGTTACTATGATAACGGTTATTTTTTATTATTGCTATTTCCTACCCACTTTTTAGCAGGTCTTTATATACTTTATGATTCTTTACTTTTTAATTAGGTAGAGCCTACACTGTGCTTGATTTTTTGCCCGGTTTGGGATTGCTCTTTTCCTTTTCGTTTTTTCTGAGCATTTTCTTATACTAGTTTGGGGAAAATATTTCTTCGTATTTTATATGAAAATTCTAAACATTTTTAATAAAGTTTATTTACATTTAACTAAAGTATGTAGGTACTATTTTGTTCGATTACTTTTTGCCATCTTGTAGGTAGGGACATGAAATAGGTAGAAATTTTGGGGCTTCTGATTAAAAAACCGCGATAAGTGGTTTTGGCAATCCTCGCGTGATGTTAACCTGACACTGCCTAAAGAATTCTGAGGAGTAAATGTAGAAAATGAACTTTTCTATATTGTCCCGGAACTGGGTGTTGTGGTACCGCTTTCTCTCAACTTCTTACTTTAATCTCATCAGTTGTTCGCGGTAGAATCCAGAATCGATAGTCCTGCTAGCGGTAACAGCTCATATAGAATAATACGCATGCCAAAACTGTTTTGTGGCATTCCCCAGTTGTCCAACTAGGTCGTAACTACTGATAAACCGATCTTGCTCCACTTTTTTTATCCGTAATGCGGAGCGACGTGCATTTTTAACAACAGAATATCCTGACTGGAAACGCTTAACCAAATTTGTGCTACTCTTACAGAAACTGAACTAGGTTCATAAACGTCACAAACATTTTCCGCGGCTTGCGTTGCATTTTTAACTTTTTTATAATATAATTTTAAAATTTATCTTATTTCTTCATTATATGCACTCATTTTGACAGTAAGAAAAACAAATTAAAATAATACGTTTTTTATAATTTGAATTCGGAATAATCTTCTTTAAAATTTAAACTTTTTAATAATACCGAAACTAGCGAGATACAAATGGTATATCCAGAAAGATTTTATTACAACTTTATGCATACTCTATACGAACAGACATTTGATTCTTATTTTCTAATTACATTTCCTGTTTTTACGGTATTGTTCCCTATATGAACTTCCACTCTCATTTTCATCCCTCTATTTGCTATTTTTCAGGATAAAATATAGCCTACATTTACCGATTATATGCGGTAAATGTAGGCCATATTTTATCCTTAAAAATCTTCTAGCTTCCCGTTGATGAAAGAACTTTTATAATTTGTCCAGAAATTTCGGAGCCTAGGCGTTGCTAACAAACAAACAATCAAATCTTTCCTCTTTATAATATTAGTATGGAAAAGTCAATTTTACGTTACTTAATTTGCATCAATTATACATTCTCTTTTGTGTTATTACTGGTTGGAATCAAAATATTATCAATAATAATTTAATCTAATATTATCAATTGTATATCAGATTGATAGGCTGCGCAATTATATCAGCTCACGGCGTTGAACGGTTGAACTGATCAGTTGCATTCTTCCAGTGGCCAGTTTTCAAGCATTAGGGGAAATTTGAATATATAAATATGAAGATAAGATTTATAATTGAGTAGCTTTACTCAACTAAGTACAACATCTAGTAGTTGTTATTGTATGTGGATTGTTTATGTATGCGCGGGCGCATTGTTCGCGGTGGCTCTCGCTCCATCGGTTTGCATATTTTCTTTGATTCGCTCCGTTTGTTCCAGTCTCATTAGTAGTTCAGTTATAGCGTGTCCCGTTGGTGTTCATCTCGAATGCATCATAAAAACACTACATTGCATCGCATTTTCGAAATTTGTTCTATAAATGGGGAACGTTATTAACTACTGTTAATAGTAATATGCATTTAACAATCGTCTGGCAATAAATAATGAACATCTGATGAGGATTTATATATACGAGGAAAGATTCCGAAAGTTTTAGGATATAAAAATGAAGGTACGGTAACGAATGTTTTTTATTTTATAATATTTTGTATGTCTTTGTTTATGCAGGTGTACAGTTACTCGCATGTCATACACTCGCCAGAGAGAAGTACCAGTAGAGTGTATGAGGATCACTGCCCCCTCACCTCCCACCACTATGGCAGCGCGGGCGCACCTAGCCGAGTTGCCACCGCACCCGGGTGCTTCGCCCGGTCTACTGCGGCGCCGCTACTCCGTTCCTGAGACTATCATGAGGAAGTCAGTTTCCACCGAATTTCATTATGAGGTATTAATAGCATTCAACAGATAAAACTGATTAAATTAATGGTTGATTCTCAGGTATCGCCTCGCGCAGCAGCGTTCAGATTCCGAAGAAAGTGGCCCAGGTACTAGTCCATCGCCAGCGTCGGGGACGCCGGCACGAGGATCGTGTAGTTCTCTATGCGAAGCCGCGCAGACGGCGAGAGGCGCGCGGCGCGAGCGTGAGCAAGTGCGTCGTTCAGCGCTGCTACGGCGACTGTGGGGCCGAGGCTGTGTGGGCACCTGCTCCTGTGACTCGCACGCCACTCGCTCGCTGGGTGGCTCACACGCCGAGCTCCGACCGCTCACCAGCCCATCTTCCTCACGTCACTCACATGCTGGCTGGGCTACACCTAAACGACAGCGGCTCGACTCGTCACGTGAATTCCGCGGCAGCGATGAGATGATTCGCGCCGCCATGAGAAACAGCTATGACCGGACCGAAGAAGCTCGATACGACAGGCTCCATCGGATCGAACTCGCCGAGTCGACGTATACCGAGCGGTGTACCCCCTTCGTCAATTCGGCGACAGACCCTTTGACGGACTGCGACACCCCCTTTGATGTTAGATGCGAAAGAAATGGTTTTGTTCAGTATTCAGAACAAAAACCATCAAACACCGCTCTAACGGAAACGGAATCCGAAATTCGGAATGACCGTCCACCAAGTGGACTCTCCGCGCTGAAAGATGACTATACCTACACGGACTCGTCCGACCAGTTTTCGACCTGTACAACAAAAGAGACTAACGGGTCGGTCCCGGGCGGGCCGTCTAAGATGTCTCAAAGCGCTCACATAGACGGCCGGATAAGTGAGCGATCGGTGAGCGTCGAAAATGATGACAATAATCTATTGCCGTACAACACGCCTCTCACTGTCGACACTCCATCTTATGAGCTTTTAGAAATTGTAGTCTCTGAAACGTCGACCGCGAATAATAACCCAGCCGTAAAAAATAATTCACTCAATAACAATAACACTGTCGTCTCGAAAATTCCTCAAGTCAGCCAAAAAATAGGACAAAATATAAATATCGACGAGTACGTATCTAATATATTGGTCGAAAGTTTAAATTCATTGACAGACCAGTTGGAGTGCATGAATGCATCGATAGGTGACGATCGAAAAATTAATATAGTAGAAAAAGAAATTAAAGTCAAATTACAAAACACTGGTGTGAATACCATCGTTCACCTTAGTCCTACGTCAAATAATCAAATCATATTCGGAAACGAGGAACTCTACAATAACGACGGCAGAAAAGATGTCTGTGATGATTCTCGAGATGGGCTCGACGTGATAGGGATCCGCGACGAGACCGCCAGCATGGAGTCCGTGCACAACAACAATCAAGGGGCAACATCCCGCGTCCACGATGCGGTCAACGAGGCCGTATTGCAGCAGATTCAAAAATTATTTCAGGATGAGCTGAACAATTTAGACGCGAAGACACTTTATCCACCCGGTGAGATCCCTGGGATATCACATATCGAAATATCGAATGTTGACGTCTATATCGATAACAACTCGGGAGCGACATTCGGAAACGGCGACGGCATCGAAATGCACACTCGCAACGCCGATGATCTAGCTGAACTGATTGGTGGTATCGGAACCGGTAACTATTACGAAGATCTAGAAAATGGCGCAACGGTGCCTCGTTTTTCCGCGTTTCCTCACACCTCCTCGATGGAGGTGAATGCGTCCTCGTCTGATGACGCAGATGCGGGAGGCTCCGATTGTATGAGTCTCGTTGACAGTCTGGATGACCCAAACTCCCCGAGGTCCCTCCTTCTGCGCAGAACTTTCGATATCAATGCGCGGCGAAGTGAACTCGTTCGATCAGCCATTGATGTTCTTGACCTCTTACCGGAGGATGCCCTAAAAGACCATGACGGCGGCCCAAAGGAGAAAGGAGAGAGCTTCTTCATTCGCATCAAAGACGACGATTGTGACTGCGAAAAAGAGAACGTCGTAGTAGCCGATCACATGCCGGAGAAGATAAAACAACGTTTATATCGCCGGCACCGCCGCCGCGAGCTACGCATGGAGTGTGCCCGCCGAGCACGACCCATGCCTGCGCGACGTCCTACCGCTCGACTTGACCGAGACTGTCGCGCGCTACTTGACGCGCTTGTAGACGATCTTATAGTTAAAATAGCTCACGAAGAATATAAGTGTATGCGAATCAAACAGAGAGCATCCAGAATGGTCTCCGAATCCGGTGAGAGCACTTCTAAGAAATGTAGCGAGAAAAACACGAGATACGTTGATGATAAGGAAACATTTAAGATAACGAGGCACGGATCCATAGATACGACGAAAGATCGAGTCCTCGGGACGAAAAAGTCCGAAAAACGTCACATTCGTGGCAAACTATCACTCTCTACGAAACCCTCACCGGACGACCGCGGCCCGAAGCGAATATATCAGAAATCTGAAATTCACGAAGGTAACAAATGTATCGAAATTCTCGAAATATTGGAATACGTGACCGGCTCTCGAAGTTCTTCGGAAACGACAAACTCGGATGAAAACTGCATACACAATTGTAAAGTGAAAAAATCACGAATACCCGTGCCGGTTGACGAAAAAAATCAAAGAAAATCGAAAGATCGCTCAAAAAAAAATTACTGGAGCGAAGGAACTAGTTCACCGCCGATGGTACCCCGTGAAGAAAGCAAGACCGCGAATAGTCGCTCGACGACTGAGTCAACGGAGCTCTCCCCGGAGAGCGAGCAGAACAGACGACCTCTCGAACCGCGTTCCCGCTCCAACTCGCTTCGGTTTAGGAGGATTTTCGATAGCATACCGGAGGAAAAAAGCAGCATCAGCGTTGATTCCTCAAACGAGGATATTAATCATAATCGCCGTGCGTCCGCTCCGAACGTCATAGAAAATCTCAACTACCGCCTCGATCAAAACGGTAATGGACGCCGTCGTTCAGTTGCAATCCGCGGCGACGAATGGACCAGAAAGGAGACAACCAGAACGTCAATAGAAAAGAGAAGCATGGGTACGTCGCCTCCAGCGAACATCGAAGAGCAAACTAAAACTCTACGCCTGAGGAGTCAGACAACGATGACGTCCCCGCAGCAGCGGTCGGCAGCTACGAGCCCCATGCGCAGTCCGCGCGCGCCCCCTACTCCGGTGCCCTCGCGCCCTCCGCGATGCGTACGCCCCTCACCAGGTATCGTGCTCGCTTGCACGCACCCGCCCCCGCCCCTGTCGCACCGCACCGCTTCGGTGTCCGTAGAGTAGTCGCCGCAGCACGCCGCCCGCGACGATCGCACAGATTTTATATTCTTATCCTTAAATTTAAAATATATTTATTTTTGTAGCTTTTGTAAGACGTAGAATCGATAAGCACCATTGAAATGACACAATGACTTAGGTTATCGTTTCTCTTTTTGTGAATCGGAACGAAATAAACGACTGAGCCGTCCCACTTCTTGTTTTATTTATCGAAGGTCCCAAAACCACCGAAGTCGAGTCTGTCGTGGACAAGCGCGGTTACGACGGTCCGCACGCAACGCATGACTTCAAGGACGACCGCCGTTCCCAAAATAATGGAAATGCTGAAAGAACAACAGAACGCTCGAAGACGGAAACCCGAAATCGCAAAGTTTCTAAAATCTCCGGTATTTCACGTTCAATATCAATGGAAGAAGATACTCTTCGCATGCGATCTGTGAAACTGCCGGAGTTCAAGCCGAGCGAGGCGGGAGGAGCGACGGGAGTGGGCGGTGCCGGGTGCAGTGACAGCAGTGACTCCGGCGGCAGCCTGTTGTGCTCGCTGGCGCCACGCTGGCTGGCACACACGCACCGCGCGCGCCGCATGCGCCGACGTGACGCACCACCTCCTGCGCCACCTGAACCACCTGTCGCTCCTTCCGCCCCTCACACTGATGTGACGGGTGAGTTTATATTTTAGTAATTGCACATATGCAAACATTAATAATGTGGGCCGTTTATTATTCGGACACAACTCAATGGATTTAAAACTTTCTAGTCTATCTGATTTAGATCTAACTAACTACGTACATTTGATTCCTCTCCATTCGCGAACTATAAGTAATAAGTTCAGAATGCATTTGTCGATGATTAAATGTCAGTCAAACAGATATTGTGTTGAGTGAGCGTATGGTACGTGTACGCAGGGGGATGGTCAGTGACAGTGGCGGGGTCGTGTCGTGCAGCGTTACCCGCTGATCTAGAAATGCGTCTGCGGTTCCCCAACGACTGCACTGATGCCACGCGGTCACCACAACAACATCCCCACCCGCACAGGGACCACTCTTCTGATCAGGTATTTAGTTTCACTTTTATGGTAAAAGTGTAATAAAACCTTTTTTTCTTTAGTTCTTAGATACTGGCAATGTTTTGCAAAACTTTATTTAATTTCATTTTACTGTTTCCTTTTGTCACCTTCTTTATTATTTTCTGACTTTTTGTAGGCTGAGGCATACAGAAATATGTATTTTCATACTTCAATTTAGTGTGTAGTTTAATTACCTAGTTCCTAGAAAATAAAACCTATTATTTTTTGGAGCAATTAATTAATTACCTTACAAAAAGTAATCTTCCAAGAGAACACGATGAGAGAGAAAGAACAAAATAGAGCAAGTAAAAAGTAACAAATTTTACAGAACATATACCTATTCTATTATCATACTCGTACCTTCAATTGTTATTCTTTATATTTATCGTAAAGATGGTAACAGTGGTGATAACTGTTACAGGAGTGTTGTTGCGGCTTGTGTCGGCGCGCTTGTCGCTGCGGGTGCGCATGTCCACCGTCACCGCCCCGCGCACGTGCACGCGCTTCTCTCCCCACTGCGCCGCATCTTCCGCAACCTCCCGGCAAGCTCACGCTAACTATGAAAAAGGAGGCCACAGGTACATTACTCACCTTCTTTGAGTACCTGTTCCCATAAAGACAAATCGTACGACGCAATCGAGTTTTAATGTAATGTCTCATATTGTATAGGTTTATTGCCCTGTTTCAGATTCTTCAATTCTTGCATCAAAGAGTATGAAGAAATCTGCTGATCCTTTACCTGACCTCGAGACATATAAAGCTTCACGCAGTAAGACCAAGAGCTCAGTCAAGGTACACATGACCCAATGCTGTTACTCTTGTTAAAATCATAAAAAAATCACGTTTAAGCACTTTGAGGTTGAGGATAGGCTTAGATAAAACAAAGCAGCATATAGCTTCGTTTGACAAACGTTAGGACTAAGAACCAGTACCCACCATGCAATAACCTCCGCAGTAGAGTGATTCGCATGCTAATTTTCAATGTGATGGATTTCAGACTGAATTATAAAAGTGATACTTATTTAACAGATCGTTCTTGGGTCGTTCGCAATAGAAATAAATTAAGTTAATTTACGTACACGTACTAACACCCAGAAGGCGGTTGTTTCAGACGCGGCGGGGGTACTCCCTGCACTGCTGGCTGCCGGACGACGAGCGCGCGCCTCTTAGGTAACTAGCTTCTACTTCATTATCTGGATAACAACCGTCTAAATTCCTAGGCATAATTCTACTCGTAATTTACACCATATTATCGATGGCGATATTTCGTGACATTTTACTAATTTGACATATGTTTTTGGTGTATAAACGAATAAGTTGGTAACACTACTATCAAATCTTTATTCGTTCGTCATTATTAAAGTTCAAAACAGTAAAATAAAACATAATTTTTTCGTAACATCGTTAAGATATAATGGCTAGAGAATTGGGCGGTTGCACCCCTGACGTGCAGCCATGTGTACAGTACATGGGCAAGGAAAGAAAGACATTTATCAACCACTCAATAAATAATTTAATGAAGAAAAAAGAACGAGGCCAAAATGGTCCCTTTTGCTGACAAAAGCCCCTATATTTCAGGATGGGCAAATTGACACGAAGGCCGCTGGCATTCTGATTTTAGACCTTTAGACTTGCAAGTACTTATACACAGGGGCGGATCTACTTAAGGGCTTAACGGGCTTAAACCCAGGCCCCGTAGATACAAAAGGCCCTCAACAACCAATATAGAATACGGCACTTTTACGTTAGATATTATTCAAAACAGTTTCTTAACAACATTACAATTACTTTAGTAATTAATAGGCCCGTGATTAGTATTAGCCCACAAATTCACTATCCGCCCCCGCCTATTTAAAGAATAAATAAGTACTATATCAAATAAGTAATAAAACACTATGCTCTACTATACCATTATAGTAGTATATGATCAACAGGGATAAATATATTATAAAGAACATTATTAGATGAGCAAAGTAAACCATCGACATTGGCCTACTGAGATTATATATTATCAGATACATAAACAGAATAGAAAGAAGTAGCATAAGCATTATAAATTGAAACAAGAGTGAGAAACTTATTGTCACCTAGGTGGATTTCACCTGGTAAATTTTTATCACTAATACCCGTAGATTCTTCGATCTCTGTTAGATAGCTAGCATTACATTTTGCAGTTACAGTATGACATTTGATCATGGTACTCAAATGGTCAATATGACTGTTATGTCATTTTATTTTCTTGCAAAGTTTAGCCTTTTATCGTGTACGAGTTCTATCCTGAACATATCGAATGTTTTATTAGATGTTTTAATAGAATTTAGTACATTGAGCTTTAAGGCAAACATGCAAAGAGTTAAGTACAGTGGGAACGCTTTTTTTTCAATTATTTATTGTGTCTAGGCTTTTACATATTTTACTTTTCTCACTAATGAACCTTACCTTGAACAATGATTAATGATTACTTTAATATACGTGCAGGTTTAATAGAATAAACCGTTAATTAACAACATTATAATATTAAACAATGTTATTAGTATTTTATGCATAGACAATCAGATTCGTTCCTTTTTATTTAAATTTCATAAAACAAAATGAGCATACTTCGTTTTCTGATCCTATTGCTAATAACCTGTCACAAATCCTATCCTTTTTCCTACCATTGTTTCCCTACCTTTGACACTGACAAATACACAAACCATGTGATGCCAAAACAAGAAAAAAATGAGCATAGTAAGTAAAATTCATAATTTGTTTTACACATAGCACTTGTGGAAGTCATAAACTATGCCAACGGTTCGCAAAAAATTCTAGATAAGTAACTCGAGTTAATCAAGGAATAAAATACCATGCAACCATGGCGTCGATAGAGTCAAATTTTAGCAGCTTTATAAAATTTTTTGTTTTTCAAAACATTGAACCGATATAAACTTTAGAAAAGTGAGGAATATTAATAATATATCTAAATAGCAATAATATATATAATATATATAAAGCGACTTCATTATTCAAGAAACTGCTATTGAATTTTATCATTTCTTTCTATCTACAGAAAACCTCCGCCTCATTTCAATAGCAATTTCTTGAATAATGAAGTAGCATTTGATCAATTTTACATACACAATGCTAATCTGATAAATATTTGTATTGAAAAATTCTGCCTTTATCATAAACCTACGACAGATGTAATCATATAGTTATAACAGCCCATAACCTGATAGAGCAACTGATCGGTGGTGAGGATTAAAGATACAACCAGGTCCAACGGCTTAACGATGAGTCCTAGGTAATAAATTAATTTAGTTTTCCATAAGTACCAGCCTTTGCGAAAGTAGTTTATACTTCATAATGTCAAAAAACAGCCTATATAGTTCGTATTGTTCGTCAACAGCCGTTTTATGCAGGGGCTCAAGCATTCCTTATGGATGGTTAACGAAGATTGGCCATGATCATCCACGCTGGCCCAATCCGGACTGAAAGGTATTAACGACTGCAAATGCAATCTGGACCAAGGGCTTCATGTACATTCCAAAGCATGGAGTAGCTCTAGATAATATTTTTTGATCATCCATCCCATAACCGATGCTTGCGAAAGTTGCTATATCTTCATAATAAAATGATCCAGGGATGTGTTTTGTAACAGGGCGAGTAACGGGCTATCCGTGTTGGGATGTGCTATCATCCCCGAGCTGAAGCCACGAGTGCCCACCATGAGCGAGCGTGATCTAACGCGCGCATATACGCCGCGTCACTACCTGCGCTCTTAAATGCCATACTCTCGGCTTTACTACCTTCACTCAAGAGCATGTCCACTCTACGTGACATACTGATTGAGTACATACAACTTCCTCGTCTCCAATTTTCTAGAAATTTCTAAATGTCATATACAAAAATAAATTTAGTACAAGTATTGATATTGACAAGATTACCCGTCGGTTAAAAGACGTTACATAATTATGATTGTAGAAACAGTACATATAGGTACATTACATTGATTAGTATTCAGATTTTGTAACAAATTTATATGACGTTAATAATAAAATCTTATAAATATGTGTTTCATTTACCTCTCCCTAAAGATGCAACTGCTGAGCTGGTATCTTTAAATATGTAGGTAGGTATTTAAAAGATCGTACCTTTTGTAATTTATTTTAGTCGTTACTAAAAACATCAAGTTTTCAAGTATTTGTGTTTCATTATTGTGTCACGAACGCTAGTACCTTCTGCTGCGGACATTTCGAATGTAGTTTGGTGTTAAGCAATAAACATTTAAAGCCTTTTTCTTACATTGTTTCCCCAATCTGGATTGATTAATTGCTTTACCGAATGGATTTAAAGAAATGTGTTTATTAAAATGCGAAACCTGCCTCACACGAAAAATGATTACTTTATAGACTACCAGAGCACTACTACCCGAGCGAGCAAGAAATAGTTGGTTTTCCAAAAAATAAAATTTTTTTGGACGTTTTGATTCACTAACTTAGTGAATAAGAGGACATAGTAATAGAAGAATGAAGCGACGAAATATAATAAAACTAGATAATAATATAACAACAATGATTTATTTGGTAATCTTATAACTATTATTATATTGTACAAAATTTAAATTACGTAATGGCATCATTTTCGAGACATATTAGAACAATTAGTTTTTTATTATGAGAACATTTAAATCACTGTGGTGGTAAGTATAAATCAGCTTAAAACAAACTTGACTCAAATATTATAAAAAATTCAAAACAATAATTTCAATTACAAAAAAATATTATCAAAAAATGTCACGTCAGTTCATATTTCAAATAATACACTACCATTAGAAAGGTTGTTTGTTTGATTTGAAGATCGTTGAAGATTGTTTCTTGAAACAGCCTACAACAGATAGCGATCATCAAAGTTTTACCATTTCCGTAACCCCTTCATATATAAAAAAAAGTTTTTGGGTCTGTAAACAGGCCCGTATTAAGGACAACAGGGGCGCCTGGTGCAAGCAGTGCTCTGGCACCCCCCACTCCCCAAATTACAGGGAAATTCCCGATGATCATCGGTGTGGCGCACCCCAACGCGCGGCGCCCGGTTGTTTTGCACCCCCCGCACTATGGATAAAGACGGGCCTGTTAAAGTTAATAAAACTTTGAGGACTGCTATCTCTGATGGCAAAAACAGTCGTAATGACCCTAAAACGATCTTTAACGCGCAAAAACCCATTCAAAACACACACACATACACATACACACACACACACACACAGTACACAGTTTACGATTAAACGCTGTTGCCGTTTTGATAATTTTAATAATCGGTTATTAATCGTAATCATCGTCGTCGTCGCCATCGGCTGACCGGCCGGCGGGGGCGGTGCCGGTGCTAATGGGATCGAGGTTCCGCAATACATCGTTCTTCTCCAGCCGAGGGTAGGAGGGTAGCGTGAGCACGCCGCACGTGTTGGAGGGGCCATGCACGCGGACGTACCCGCCGTCACCCCACGCTGCAGACCAGGAGTTCTTCAATATGAAGTGGGGCTCGTCACGTTGAACTCCCCACCCTACTGCTAGCACCGCATGTTTCAACTTCTTTTTCACTTTCGAACTAAAAAACGAGTTGATATTATTTCATAGTCAGTGGATTTTACATACAGCGTCATCCAAGTCTTTAAAAAAAAGGCTGGATTCGAACCAGCAAAGTTTCATGCCAGTGCTCTTTCAATAAGCTAAACTGTATAATTACAAGTTCCTATTTTTATATTTGATAAATTTTTCATTCACAGCTATACTGCAACAAATTTTCATCATATCGAAAGTTTAATATATATCGCACACCTAGATCTAAACTAAGACAACTCAAAAAACTAATGTGAAGGTCTGACAATACATTTGTTTATGTGGCAGGAGCGCTACCACTGTTGATTCAACAAAAGAAAGCTAAAATTATCTAGCGCATCATCCCCGAACCTTTATTGAATCTGTTATGTTGGATAGATGCGTATAATCACCGAGAATTTAAATATTGTACTAAGTCAAAACTCACTCAACTTTTTGAGTTGTCTCGGTTTCGATCTAATTAAGTGTCCGATATATAAGTTTAAAATACGCGAAAAGTAACAAGTGTTTGAAAAATTCGTCAGTCTTGTTAGGTCTTGGGTAGCTTTGCGGTTAGAGCAGTCGCCCTCATTGCGAAAGGTCGTGGGTTCGTGTCCCATCTCAGAGTACCTGGGGCTGGTCGATTTTTAAGCATTTTTTCACAAAAACTACAAGTTCCTGTCATCACTTGACTTCATAGTACGTACCAACGGTCATCGTAAAAGACTCCTTTCTTGTACGTCTGAAAACTTTTCAAGGCGCTGTCGATTATCACCACCGATGGTGCATGTCTACGAATCGCCACCTATATTCACACGAAACCAATAACATATCAATGATTCAAAGACTATTCGATTAATAATTTCTCTTAATCATAAACACATTTATTTCTATTTATTCTTCAATTGATAGTTTTTTGTTGCAATTTTTATTTGTAACAATTTAGTATATATCTATCTATACGTAGTACAAAACAAAATCGCTTCCCAATGTCTTTACGCTGAAATTTTTTAAATTACTCAACAGATTTTCATGCAATTATAATCAATCTATAGAGTGTAAGTTCAAGAGGCAGATTTATACGTATAATAAATACAGTACCACGTGAGCGAAGTCGCTGGCGGACAGCTACTATTAATATGTAGTGTAGTTTATATAAAGTAAATAAATCTATTGTTTTGCTTTACCTTAAGTGCTGCCACACTATGTTGTGTGACGTTGACGTGAGCGCTGATCTGTGTGACGGCCGGCACGCGCTTATCCTGACACTCCAACACCTGGAAAGATGCAACCATTAATGAGTAATGGGTAACTCATTACACAAGCAAAATTTTAATAACACCTTCGTTTGCATAAGGACATACTAAATCATGCCATATCACCCGTTTTCCGAATTGAGAATTTAAAGCTAAGCACGTCTCAAACTGTTCTTAAGCGACACTTAAGAAGGTTTTTGTTCCTTAATTTAGTTTTTTTAATGATTGAAGTTGATAGCAGTTTGACTAGGCCTTTTGACTCTTGAAAAGTAAAAAAAAGCTTAGTGTATCGAGAATAATCACTTGAGAATTTGTACTTTTCTCAATTTAGAAACCGGCCGAATGTATTCTAAGCAACTTTAAAGTAAGGTATAATAAATACAGACTAGCAATTCTATAAAATAGAAAGACAATGTTAATTACATTACGAATAATATAACAGTAAAAATTATAGTTTTCTACGGGATTGCTACCATGTACCTTTTTTATTGAGTTTTGCAACAGGGCCCAAATATCGGGAACTCAATAAAAACAAGGCACATGGCTATCAAAATGAAAATTACTGTATTAGTAAGCTATAATGCACATCATTACACTTACCCTCGCTTGGTAAGGTATGTACTCTTTCTCAGCGGGTAGACCACGGTCCTGGACGTAGTCGTATGCGTGACTCGGCCAGGTACCCTTACATCCGTTGCCGCCGTACCTGGGTACATTTTTTCAGGAATTCAATAAGAAGAAAAGCATATTTATTGAAGAAGCTTAAAATACTTATAACGTCTGTCTCAAGTCTAGCTCGGTAACTGAAATATTTATATGAGACAAATATAAATATTTATAGGTAAAAATATATTACGGCTTTGAGCAGTCGACGAGACACTGCTCGCTGAGCGGCACCAGACGGCGCGTTTTACGGAAGAGCGCACCCTCCACAGCTCCAGCTACAGCGAAAGCCCAGCACGACGAACATGACCCTTGATCTGTTGACAATAAATGTAATATTTTTTTTACACTTTTAAGGCCTTTTTACGCGCCACTCACGCCCTTAAACAGCACGTATCACTCATTCCAACATTCAATTTGTGGGTATCTGGTACATTTTTAAGTAGCGCCGGCTCAATGAAACGTGGCGCACTAGGCAAAACATTCGCATGACGCCCGTAAAAAATCAACAACAAGTTAAAAGGCCAATTTATGTACACCGATTAAAAAGTGTAACTTTGCCAATGCCAAAAAGCATTAGGTACTGAGATTCTGAAAATGTTGTACTTTTGAATAATACTGCTGGTATAAACATGTTATAAGAACAAAAGTGATTTTTAAGGAACTGAATTTTTAAGGTTCAATTAGCTACCTAGGCCTATACGGACGAGCTTGTTACTTGTTTTTATTTCCAACGTGAGATTGGGAGAAATCAAAAACTACTAACTACTTTGTTTTACATAAAAGGGACCATGGATTTGATTTATAACGATTTCTCATAGGAATTACCCATGCAAGTGCTTACATTTGACGGGGGAGACACCGCCTTTCTGCCGCCAGTCGAACTCGTCGGGAAGGCGGTCGGCCAGATCACGCAACTTGGAGCGATCATGGGGGAAATCCTCAGCAGGGAAGTGCTCGTCGTCCAGCACCACGCCCAACAGAATTTCCACCTCATCTTGGAGCCGGTCAGAGAGGAAGTTCAAGGCCATCTCGAAAGTGGCGCCGAGACGGTTGCCCGCCGACACGAACCGGCTCGACTGCATCAGGAGATTCTTGCGCACCGCTTCCTCGGCTTTGTCTACGTAATGCCGCTCATATTCGTGGGTGAAGCTGTGGCGTAATAAATTTCCTTTACGATAACCAAGTGATAGTTCTATTCTGACACATCTATGGAGTCCAAAAGTAGATCCATGATCCATTCCAAAAATAAAAAGGTAACTTTGTAACTTTTAAATTTTGTAACACTCGTTTTTGACCGGTATTTAGAAATGTAACAATTTTTAATAAAACAACCACTACGCAGGGAATATGTTAATAAAAATTAAAAAATGAAAAACAAAATAGACTTTGAAACAGTACAATTAAAAACTCGCTCATATTGGACGTCAAACAACACAGGTACATATAAAGCGCGCCTCACTTTTTAAACAGCTCGTCATATTTTGGGTCACGCCCCATCATGATGAACTCCCGTAGCGGCTCCACGACGGTCATGTCGTGTGTTCCCTCCTTAATGTCACATCCTTTTTCTATAAAAAAACACAAAATATATTTATATACATATATATTTCGTTACCACCATAATTGTATCTATACATAACTTATGAATTGGCTTGCAATGGCCTGAGACTGTCATATGCGGTTTACATTGAGAAATCTATGGCGTGATTTTCTAATATTGAAATCTATCATAGTCCATTTCAAACGTATAGCTGTGGTAATAGTATTTATGGAATTGTATAGCTTAAAAAGTCACAATCGCTTTTGGTACGAATGATAATTTGAATGATATAAAAGTCACAGGTAATTCAATGCGATTGACATTTCCCAATAGCATTCAAAGATATGTGCAACTAAGTAACACTTTGCTAAGATAATTCCGATTAACGTCAAATAAATGTTATCGTTCATCCAATATCTTAAAATACACTTAGCAATTGCAATTGCATTGTTGCACATGTCAAATAGTAATTCTATTTTGTAAGTCGATCAGAACACAGAAATCTTTCTGTGTTCTGTGATTATACCTATATATGTAAAGCCATTTTCGAATGGGTTATTGATAATTTATTTTTTCGAGCTTTTCCTTGCCTCAGAAGAAACATTGAAACGTACATTTCTGTTGCATTTGCAGTTTTTTGCACCAACCAATCGGTATTTTGCCCGCGTGGGCTATAAATCATTTCTGTTTCTTTCCACCTGGAAGACCGGTACCCCAGCCCCAGATATGAATAATCTGACGAATAAACTATTATGGTTAGAGTTGTAAAATGAAATAGCACTATAATATTGCTAAAATATAGCATTCTATGGCTTGAGTTCTAGCTAGAATAGTTAGGCGGCCAGGCAGGTCAGCTAACATCAAGAAACTTACCGATATCGAAATTGAATAAGCTTCCATCGGCTTGATGTTCGTGAACTTGGTGGAAGCGGTGCATATATCGATCAGAGTCCTTTCCCAACACAGAACTATCCACAGACACAGTGTACCTGAACACAACAAAGCACCTGTTTATTGACGGATTTCATAAAACCTGTACTCGAACTAGAGCTGGTAAATTTCGTTTATATTTTTATTCTTATGCTGTTAATTTAATAAACCTGCCAGTTATAAAATATACTTTTTTTTAGCAATCAGTTGATAGCTGTTCGGTAAAATTAGGACTTTTTGCAATTTAAAGTATAAAAAATATAATCAGTTGAGATTTTGTACTTTCATCAAATCAGAAACCGGCCATAAGTGTTTAGTAGATAATCTTAGAAAAAAGAAAGTGGCAGATTACTTGTGGATTTGCTAAATGTAATAAATTCTTTGTATAAATATCATATGAATTTTCTCTCACATTAATGGTCTGGGGGTGTTGTCATGGGAGCGCATTAGCAACATCTCATGGTGGTATGTAAGTTCCTCTCCACGCGCTCCACCACTCGCCGGTGTGGAATGCTTCCATTGTTCAACTTGCGTATCTCCCATCTGGACAAACTCTGAAACCATGAAAAGCGTATTGAGCTAATTATTTAATTTATCCTTTGATGATACCAGAATATTTTCAGTTTTATTTATGACGTTATCTTAAATGCTACTGTGAACGCCGTCCCTTCAATTTTAAAACTATAGTATTACTGTCAAATGAAAAATTCTCCATGTTGGGGAACATAGGCGGCGTTCGGTCGTGTTGCGTCTCCTGACTCTCCATCACTGCACAACGCCGTACGTCTTTAGAACCGGTGCGATCAGTGCTCACCTAAAATCGAAAGTAAGCATTAGAATATTGAAGTCGTCTCTCTCAAGGTATTAGAGTTGCAGCCAGTATTACTAACCCTATAGTAAGAAATTTTGTTGAAAAATTTGAAAAATTAACAGTTCGTTGTTTTCACGTTGATACCCTTGTTTTTTGTTTCATTTATAATATTTACTATTAATATATATAATTAAGTTTTTCAATTAGTGTGAAGGCCCCCTATTATACTATGCTAATATAATCCGCAATAACCGGCTGCTATTCATTTAAAGCCACAGAAAGGCACATTAATAAATTCAACAGAACAATTTAGGTATCATTTTATAAAGGTAATAAGGCAATTGAGCAAAATACAAGTAATAATGAGCATGAAATTGGAAAAGATTTGGTTTTCTTTCGTATTTTATTTTGTGACAATATTATAAATCCTGAGAACTAATAAAAGTATGTGAATGTATTAAATTATATGAGTACAGTATTAAATATGCCTTTTTTACTTAATTTACTGTTTTCTCCTTTTTTTTACTTTCTAGTTATTTTTCTAGTTTCTTGGAGTTGGCAACACTAGTTGCAGCCGTACTTACAGCGACCCTGCGAACTCGCCCAGCCTGCATCGATCGATACGTGCTGGTATCACCATCGTGGAAGTCTACTCGTGAACTGCCAGTGGATGGATCCCACCTGTTAAAGAAAAAGCAATATTTAAAAACCAAATATATTGGGAACTCCGACGCAATACAACGCTTGACTTCAAAGTTTATGACCCCTTAAATTTTGTGATTGAGGAGAAACTATAGTAGATATGAAAGGCATATCAAAATCGCTATTATTTTATTTCTAATGGGGAAATATGTAGAATGTCAATAGGTCAAAAAAAAATACTAATGGTTTACGAATTCGAGAAGCTAGGTGTTAGACAGGAAAGAAGCCGAATGTGGAATACAATTTACATGGTTATAAAATTGCTTCTTAAATTATTCCTAATGGGGGAAATGTATAAATTGTCAATAAGTCCAGAAAAATCCCATAGTGAAATTTTCGGATCCGCTTGGCTAATTAATATTTAATTACTAACTTCTAACTGTCAAAATATAACTCACAATACTGAAAGTATTCAATAAATAAGATTGTAAGTATTTAAAAAATGGTAATACTCTATCACATATAAAAAATACTAAAAAATTTGACAGTCTCAGATACCAGTTAATGTTAATGGTACCAGAATGACTATAACCAGTTACCCGTAATCTATATTATTTATACACAAGATATAAGTAAACGGTAATCAAGTTTTCATTTAAAAGAGAAGAAATTGTCACGAGATATACATTTTACCATATCAGAACATGATTTGAAGTGAACAACTCACCACGCTGTGTAAGGTTCAGTGTAGTCAGCGCGGTGGACGGTAATCTCGCCGGTCACCGCCAAAGGGTGAGCGAAATGTGGCTTCTGAGGTGATGCAGATGGTTTTCCGGGTGCGGGGTGTATAGGGAGTGGTGGGGGAGGGGGCTCGGTGTGGCGTCGGTGCCGGACCAGCACCGCCGGCAAGTGAGGCGCCTGCGGCTTCTGGGCACGGAATAGATCCACCAGCACGCTGGAGTCTACCGGACCACCTGGTAATTAAAGGAAGAAGAATTTCAATAGATGAGAATTAATATAATGATCTTTTTACGTCTAAAATGCCCTTGCATTTTAGACGTCTCTGGCTTTATTGTAATATAGGCAATCTTTACGGCATGTTAGGTTCTCGAAATACCTGACGTAAAGCCAAACGAGTCATATTTTTTCATATGTTTACATGTAAAACTCAAGGGTTGGGTTCCACACGGACTCAAAATAAACAAATTGCTACATTTCTAACAAATGATATACATACTTTATTATCAAAAGTAAGTAATTAAAATTAAAACAAATATAAATATACTTATGTAATTTCTAGTTATTTTTGGTATTTCAATAATAATAATAAAACTTTAATTATCAAAATATACAATGAGAAATAATATACGAAACTTTAGGCTTAAAGAAACTATCAATTCTTTTCTTGCTTCGCTTCTTTCTTCTTGCTATCATTCAGGTCTTGGTAAGACTGATAGATTGCACAAATTTAGTTATTAACATTAAAACCCCATGGACATTGACCTCGCGACAAGTGAATTCTCCTATGCTGGAAATCAAAACAATTGACGTATGCTTGAGGAACAGTGTCAATACATTGTCTGACGTAACGTGAAACGACGTAAGTAGAGGACTGCCTGTACTATTACTCTATTCAAATCAGAGACATTGTTTGCCTCTGAAATTTAACGAAAATAAGACGTAACAAGAAATAAAATTGAATATTACCTGAATGCATGTTAGGTGGAGGGATAACACTCGGCTCTTTATATGCTGGGTCCGGCTGGAACGGACGAGGAAATTGTGGTTCAGGGCGGAGGTAATCATTATCGTAGGGCTGCAATGGTGGTGCCTTATCGTAAATAGGCTGCCGACGTGGCCCATCGTTACCAGGACGTCGAGTTTTATCAGGACTAGGACTTGGAGGTTCATCATAGCTAGGACGACGTGGTTCATCGTAATCTGGACGAGTGGGACGGCGAGGAGGTTCACGGTAGTCGGGAAGGTAAGAAAGTCTGTCGTAAGCGGGACGCTGATATTCCTCATAACTAAGACGAAGGGGATCCTCGTAGCTCGGATAACGAGGTTCATTATAGCTAGGACGACGAGGTTGGTCATGTGTCGTAGGCCTTGTCGGTTCTTCGAAGCCGGTCGGTCTACGTGAACTGTCGTAATAAGGTCTTCGACGGTCATCGCGTCTCGGTGGCTCCTCGTAATTTCGTTGAGGCTCCTCGAAATCCGGTTTCCTACGTCGCGGCTCGTCGCTCGGTTGATGCGGCTTGCTGACTCTTCTATTATCAAGTCTATCTTGATTAGCTGAGCACTCTACAATAATAAAAGAAAAATCTTTTTAGTGTCCCCATGGTCACCATAATATATAATTTATTTTTTGGGAATATTTTGATATCCGCTTTTCGGTGTTGTACAGTACCTTGCTTCACTGGCAGCGGCACTGGCACTGGCAACACGTACACTGGCACCGTGGAGGTACTTCCGTCGAGGCCTTGGTGTCCAACTACACATATCAAAACAAGTGATATATTATTATTCATCAAATGAATATTTATAAAGGAATTAAACGAACATTTGGTACATATGTATGTAAAAACTAATTTATGATAAACCGTGACATTTATGAATGTTGAGAACATAATTTAATTGATCATTTGAAGAGCACAGAAGTTCTCTCTAATCTTAGCTTGTGACAGAAGTCTTATATAAATTTGAATATATTCATACATCAAAATTTAAGTAATTGTTTGTATGTTCAATTACCAACTGCTAAATCTACTTTGATTGGTGTCTTCGGCCAGTCCGAAAAGCTGCTGCCAGTATTGGCAGCTCCATTTACGTAATCTGTAATGTAGAATAAAAGAAGTTCAATATTGTATTTGGGAATACTTTTTTATTTATTTACTTGCTTAACAATCTGTTAAAATAAATAAATATGAGACATGACTCATAAACAATTCAGTGGGTAGATATGTCATCTTTACCAAAACAATAGTCAAAGGGAAAGCATGCTCCATTGAATAAAATATATAATTATAATTATCGAAATACCTGACACGAATCGCACCCATCGATCTTGTGCAGCGACTGCGGCGCTGCGTGTTGCGCGCGCATTCTCCACACTCTTGACATCCACAGTGTTGACGCGCGCGGTACTCACGTCCGCAGTGTTGACAACTGATGGGTGTGACTGAGTAGTGCTGGAGGAAGGAACGGGGGTTGTGGATTTTACGGAGACAGCGGCCGGGTCTGCAGTTGTAGTCACCGGCATGCGTTTACTAAGCACCTTCCGTTGGTACCGTACAGGGCGCTCATTACTGGGCGCAGGTTTAGGTGATTCAGGATCTGACGATGCTTCTGAAATTATAAATAATGCCTAAATGGTAGCCCTATTACATTTTGACTATTAATGGTCAATTTAGGCGTTTGTGATCTAGGAATCAAAAATATGTATTAATTTTGACTAAATTAATAGTGCAAAATAACTAATTACTTAGCTCGTAGCGGCTTTAATTTAAGTAAATTGTGCTTTACTTTTTAATGAAACCCAAAATTGTAGATAAAGGTTTTCATTAAATGCATGATGGAGCTTTTTTGAGCTTCTAAATTGAGTTATTGGTCGAACGAAATAAATAAAATAAAAAATTGTCACTTATATATATAATCGTATAGGTCGTAGCGTACTCGAAATTTTGAAATATCATTGATCAAATGTAGAAAAAAAATGTTTTTATTAAACAAAAATAAGTTAGTGGTTTTTCCTATCTACAATATTATTATTGCACAAATTTCGTATCATAAATCTTATTACTTCTTAGAAATAAAGATTTCATAATTTTTAAGTAAATTTTGTAATGGAGCTTTAACTAAATGTTGACTAGTAAAGCTGAAGGAAATTTGTTCAATTGCTAGACTGCTTGTTTGAGCGAAACCAGATTTCCAATCACCAGATCTGTCAGTATTTTAAATCTTGTAATAAACGTCGCATTATTTTAATCCCAATCGGCTCAAATATACAGATATTTTCGCCGATTGAAGCTTTCTGTAAAAGCGGCATTTGAACCACTCTTGAGAAAAAGATAGATAGACAAATACTTCGTTACTCACAAACAAGTGGCAAAGGCGGTCTTATTGTTAAAGTGATCTCACATTCACATGTTCCTGAAAGATAAATCAACGCCAGAGTACCGACACGAGTGGCATTCTATACTTGGGTCTAGCCATTTTACAACGTGCCAATGACATGCCATCAAAATGATATGATAATGACATTAACTTAAATATTCCGCTGAAAAAAAAACATGTTAAAATATTTCTCAATCGAACATGCAGTGACAAATCTCTATATCTTGTAATAGGTTACCGCCTGACCCAACACAAAAATGTCAGTTAAGAAATGTGATCTCAGCATACCCATTCATATTTGACGTTTACAAATTGTATTAATTCGCAATCAATTATAAACCGGTAGAGCTATCACCGGCCGTACAGGGGGCCAATTCTACTAAATAAATTTTGTTTAAATCGAATCGAAAACGGATCGAAACCGAACGAAACTACAGTTTTTAATGGTTTTTCTATTCTACTAAGTGACATACGATACAATTCCAACTAAAATAGATCTGGAATTGTATCGTATGTCACTTTGTAGAATAGGAATACCATTAAAATACAGTTTCGTTCGGTTTCGATCCGTTTTCGATTCGATTTAAACAAATTTATTTAGTAGAATTGCCCCCCTGACAGCAGCACTCGACTCGTTTTTAATTCGATTATATAACACATAACGATGGGCAATATCAGTATTATATTATTGTGCCGTCGTTTTATCAGTAGTCACGGGTGAAAGGTAGTTGGAATATCGTTTATTAACTAGTGACCGCAACTGATTACAAGTACTCACTTCGGCTCTGGGAAATATTGAATAACGTTTATGAATTAGAAAACTTACTATTACCGAACAGCGGTATTATAAATAAATTCTAAAGTTCGGTAATAGTAATACATGTTAACGTCACGATCACATTTATTTTTAAATGTTCGTTTCACATCGTATGAGTAGGGTTACTACCGGTACTATATTATGTAGTATCGTTCTATATTTCAATCAGTTTTATTATATGTTTTAGAAAAATTCAAATGTGGTACTTTCGGAAAAAAATAAAAAAAGAAGAATATTAACTGGCGGCGAGGAGAAAGGACGAGTCCTCTATTAATTTCATTAAAAACGAATTTTTAATTTCTTTTAATATGGATCTAACTCGCTCAATTTTTAATATAAATACTATACCTTCAAAAAAGTTTCAACCCTAAATCAGAGCCTGGCATTAGTGTCTAGCATTTTTCTTTATTATAAATATCCAAAACTCTCCTGTTGACTGGTAGTGACTGCCATGTCATTAAGTTCGTCGTTTCTATATTTTTAATTGTGCAATAAAAGCATAAATAAATAAAAATAAACTTTATTATGTTAGATTTCTTTTTGACCAATCAACGGAGCCCGGTAGGTATATGAATGGGTCCTGACTGTTGATCCTTCTATTCTGCTTTGTATTTATGATATGTTTTATGTCTGTATAGATTTTAAAACTATTTCAATGGACCAGTTATTCAGTAGTACCTACTTATTAATATTTCAAACTATTGTGCTCGTTTTTTCTTTTTACTGAAAGTAAATAAATATTTTTTTCACTTCTTTCTTTTGTTTTCACGCAGTCGGGTTTTTTCTTTATTATAATTATTTATTAGTATAATTCTCGAAAACGAACATCCGGTTTGATAAATCTTTCATTACTTTTCTTAAAAAATAATTAAATCTGATTTTTTTTATCCTCGATGTCAGATTCCCCTTACTTTTTATATAGATTTTAAAATTTTAATTAGTATTCATTATTTTTGAAAAACAATAGTGACGGATTGTTTAAGTTTTCGAAAAACACCATTGACTTTTGTTAGCTCTAATGTCCGGTTAATAATAAAGTATTTCCTACATGTCCCAGTATTTCACTCACAGTAGTTTTATTGACTATAAAAATAGGTTATAATGTTTATAACATATATTACATTTTATTTAGAGCTATACTTAAAAAAAAGGTGTTTAAATAGTCTAGTATAAATACTTGGACTTATATTGCTCCTGGCAGTACTTTAGGGACAATAAATAGATTAACTAACCGCTAATATCTTATATTTCAATACTGAATAATCAGCGCCGACTCAATGAAATTTTCCGCTCTAGGCATAATATTAGAACGACACCTATAAAAAATAATAACTAATGAAGAAACACCGATTCTAAAAAATGTCTGAAATTTTGTACTTTTACCACGGTCATGGAAACATGTTCTAAGAAGTTAAGTTAATGAGAGCAAACAAAAACTGTTTTTCCATGCCATGCTGACCCGAAATACGAGCGCCCTAGGCAGTTGCCTAGTTTGCCTATATGGACTGGCTGACCCTGTGAATAATGTTTTGTTATCCTGGCACTAGGACGGTATGCGCTAGAATTAGTGTTTCTTACAATTTCAATTATCATTTTCTAATCTAAACAGTCGGAAGTACGAGCTATTTTCTAAAATTCCATTAATTTTTGTCTTAAAGAAAAATATTTTTATGGCTAGAATTATAATTATAATATTGATTGATTCTAGAAATAATTAATGATTTAGTTAGATTAATGAAGTTAATCGTCGTTATTTCTAAGTAATTTGTTGAAAGGTCAATATTGTATGAACTAAACTCCCACAAAATATAAGCTTTTACGCATAATCTTAAGTACCTAAATGAAGAGCCTAGTGTATTTTAAATGACTCTTAATGTAACGACCGTTTGCAATTTGGCTAAATCACCTTCGTTTAATAAAGCTCTTGCCTTATATTGTAGCTTCCATCGAGTTATAAGGTAACATCAAGGTAACACATATTTAATGCTATTATTTAACATATTATTATAATAACAAATTCACCAGAAACTGTCGAAAGGTCAATGTCGGCGACGTGCCATATGCCGCAGATGAGTTTCGCGCCGAGTGTTTTGTTGTTATGTTTCAATTTGGAATTATTATTTTTACTCATATGATATGAATGTGTCCGCAGCTAGATACTTTTCTTCTATAAAATAGGACGATTCTTTGACGTGGAACTGCTCAATCTACTAAATTCCAGGATGTTGTAAATTACTGAAGTTGATTTTGAACATCCAAATAAAGTTCAAATAAGCCGTAAGTAATAATTAATGAGAAATATACATCATATTGTGTAAGAGTAATGGTTGGATCAAAATGAGACGCATCCGTGAGACTATACTGGGTTTTTACTGTTTTGTCCCTCGTGTCTGACGACCTCGCTACATTAACATAGGAGAGGAATAAGTCCGTTCTCCCGGACGCAAATATTTCTATAAAAAAAAATACAAAACCGCAGAGGTTACATAGGTTCTACTAACCGCTTTATAAAAATAAACTTTGGAATTGAAATGACAAGCTTTTTTATCAAGCAAATGATAACAGTCAAGGATTCTTATAATACGGATCAATCAGCGACTATTACCTGCCTATTGTACTAACTACCTTATGTGAAGAACTTTAATGTTAAACTTAAAGATATTACTAACTTTTCAATTAATAAAGCTTCAAAATTACTTATAAAAGGAAAAAAAAACAATCAGTGCACAATTTTTTATATTGTGATTGTTACATCATGCAGTAGACTACATGAATGGTACGTGGTCTACATGAACGGTTGATGATCGATTTTTGCTAATATACCTACAGTTCAACTACTACTTTTAACACTAGAAAATGAGAACAATAATTTAACTGCAATTTTAATTTAATAGTTGTATGAAAATTTCATGACAATATTACGTCACAGCATTTCCTATCACACCTCATTTTTGGCAAATTCATGCTACTAAATGAATAATTGTACATACAGTCGTTTAACTACCCGTCGTCTTTCTAGGATGGCAAATTTTGTTGTTTTCCTGGTTTTAAGCTAATCAAGGGAACATAAATAAATATGAAATCAAGAATATTTGCTTATGAAGTAAAAATAAACATCTTTATTTTTATTTTTTTTATCGATACCTACTAAACCGTATTGCAACATTCTTTAGAATTTCATTATGTTGTCTCGCACTTAGAATACTTTCGCAATCAGAATATATAATATGATAAAAATGTCTTCAACATTACAGGAAATTTTGTTTATATATGTTTTTTATATCATTGTACATCATCGAAGTGTTGGCATAACGATAGAAATCACATGATAATTCTATTAAGAACACCATTGCAATAGTTAATGTTTATTTGAAAACAACCGAAGGCACGAGATGTCATTAATCACAATTATTAT